AGGTCAGGTTCAACAGATGTTCCTGGTAAAACGTAGCGGACGAAGAAATGCCGCTCATGTATAAAATATCTAATACCTGTTATACATTATCTCGTAGATTATTTCGTTAATGAGAGTTAATTCAGCCTCAACATTAATATTTCTCTTTCTACTGTAATGCTCCGATCGGATTTTTATCAAGAGTATTCGCATTTCGCTTCGTGTCTCTATCAGACTCTATGGCTCCAATACTCTACTGACATTTTGGCATAGGTTCCCCTCATTGATAAAATAATCTTTAACTTAAACAAAAGAACGATAAATTCACAGTAACGGTGTTTACAATAACGATAAATGGACAATAACAATAGAATCACAATAACTTTTGTTGTATATTACGAGTATCAAACTCTCGGTGTTATACATCGTCTATATTATTACGAACGCCTTTTTCTGTATTAAACATAATTGCAATCTTTCTAAACTGAACACTTCTCACGCTTTCCTTATTAGTCGCCAAGATATTACCTATTAATCGCGAAGAACTTATATGCAAAGTGTTAATCAGAAAATAATAAAATAGCCGAATACTTCTCATGCCCCTGCTTATTATTCGCCATGATTTATAACGAAATAATTATCTCCGTAACATGCCTTATTAGTCGCTTGGGAATTCTTACATCAAAGTATCGGTAGAGAACAAAATAATACAATTTTTCCAATAATCGATAACGAATATTAATATTTTATTATTACAAGAGATGAAACCACCCCAGGGAAGCCGTTCCGTTTTGGTTTTATCCTCAGCAGCCAAACTTACTTCTTTCCGTCTGGGAGAAAGGTCGTTTATATAATGAATTTTATATCACTATTCGAATTCATCACTCTAGTACTCAATTTCCCTCCCAGACATCTACTCGCGAATTATCACTATTTACGATCAAGTGATCAAGTTGGTTACCCGATCCAAAATGCACGGGAGTGAATTTTTGACCAATCAAACAATTCCGTAGTAAATAGCAAAATCGCTATTTACAGATAGGCACTTTACTTATTATTATTACTGTGAACCATCTTTTTAAAAATGCATCTAGGGTTATACCAAACATTGGGGTTTTCAACAAGATAAAGACAGTGACCCAAAGCATAATAGTAAGGCTGAAAAACGTCTGAGCTTCTTCATAATCAAGTTCCAAAAATCCTTGACTGACCCTCCTATAGTAATAGCCCCAACCTGAATCCAATAGAGAACCTGTGGGCTATTATAAAAAAGAGTGTTGAGAAAGGAGTTAATAAAATAATGTTGAATGTTAATGTTGGCATGGTTTGATTAGAGAAGAACAGGATAAGGAGGGTTTCTCCACAGATCTGTGTCTTAATTTAGTAATAGTAAATGGGATGGAGTTATAGTTATTGAAAATGGTGGGGGAAAAGGTAAACTGTTATAATTGGTACATATGTTTTTTGTTATAAACATCATATCTATGTATTTGCAAAGCCATAATCCAAATGAATCAAGCTCACAAAATTTATGGTCAAAAAACCAATTCTCATCATTATTATTAATGGTGAGCACTGTATTTTGTGAATATAACTATAAGATGCCAGCACCAAACAAGGGAATGTCTGATTGTTATAAGTATTTTATTTGAACAATGCAACGCTGCCAAAAAAAGTGTCTACAGAGTATTTATCCTTTTTATTAATTATTTCTAATTTATTTACTCATTTGTTTTTAATTAGTCCTATTTGGTGGTGTTCTTTGAGACTTTGCGGGAACTCATAAACATTCACTTATAAGCGTTTCGCAGTAGCGAAATTTGTAGCATCACGAGATCGAAAACAGAAAACAATAGAGGTTCCAATTGGTTCAAGCTGTGTGCAATGCCATCGTAAGTAATTATCAGAACGGAGGCAAGATAAGAGGAGTACTGCTCAAGGCCCTTAACCTCGCGTCGGACGTGATTGACCAGGCACGGAAAAAGATCTTGCTGCCTGTGTTTTCTTCTAGACATGGGGCGGTCTTTCAAGATCCCAACGAAGATTCATGATCTGCACATGGCCATCGATTGTTGTTGTGTTCTGAAAGTGGGTCACTTTTCTTGCAACTGTGTTGTATCCCTTGACATCTACGTTAACATCGTTCTGTAATAGGCCCTTCTAAAGAACGCTTCGGGCTTTGGGCTCGCGACCAAACTTGACCTGGGGCACTTGTTGGAACAGAAGAAGCGCCGGAGCGTATTAATGGAGAAGATTTTCCCCTTTCGTGGCCTGATTTTGCATTTTCTAATGACTCGGTATAATAATTTTAAAAATATAAAAAGCAAAGCTTTCTACTTCAATATGACCGCAAGGTGTCGCGATGTTTCGATTCAATTATTCCATTCATGAGACTGCATATACTTTACTTTAAAGACACGTCACCTGTCATTAATTCAACTGATTCTGAAACTCAAATAGCAAATATATTGATACATTATTATTAAAGCTGATATCATACAAAAAAAAAATACTTCTAATTGCATTTTTACAAATTGCTTATAAATGTAATGACAAATCCTATTATTTACAAATGTTCACTTGAAAATAAAACTGCTCATATAACAGCTCACTGCTAGCAATTATTTCACTCACGGAAATCAAACATTGCAATATAACTAATACACACGGTACAAACATCCACATGTCTCATGTTCATATCATCGAACATCGATAGTCTTATTGTTGATCCGCATCACATATATACCCATTACCACGCTTACATACTTTTTTAGTAGTTGAACCATCACACTCGTTCTCGTCATCCAATCTTCGTTTTTGGCCCGTAAACCAACCAAAAAATTTCTGCGTAAACCAATCGACAGTCCCTTCTTCACCCTCTCCGTTCAGGCTCTCTCCATTCACGCTCTCTGTATTAATGCTCTCTATCTTCGAGCTTTCCCCATTCACGCTCTTCCCATTAACTCGCTCTCCATTAACCCGCTCCCCATTCGCTCTCTCCCAATTCACTCTTTCTATATTCGTATTATTTCCTTTCATCATCCCGCCATTCATCGCCCTTCTTCCATTTATGCTCCTCCCATTTATACTCCTCCCATCACATAATCTCTCATATTTTCTTTTTTCCAAATCAGTCATCTTCATTTCCGCGATAGCATTTTGATTATAACCCCGATTGTTTTGACACTCTCCAAGATCATCACTACAGTCATACCATGTCTCATCATCGTCCTTATCATCAACAAGAATTGTTGATTCACTGTCGCTATCGTCAGCTACCTGCGTTCCAATTATTTCATTAACGTTCGAAAAACTAATCTTCTTCGGTCGCTGTAGGCATTTCTCGTTCAAGTCTTCAGTCACAAGACGTCTAGCCTTTTTCTGCCCAACCATTAGCCCGAGCTGAGATTCGGGCACAAAGACTATACGCTGCGTTCTTTTTAAGGGTGGCGGGACAAAAGGAGATTTTGTTTCTCTGCCCGGAGAAACAGGAATAGGTAGTGGTTCGAGTGGATGAGAGTTGATGCGAATCAACCAATTTTTTCGTGTGAGAATGGAGCCTGCTGGTCGTGGCGGCATTCGGGGAGACAAGCGCGGTGAGGTTGAAGGACTGGGCGGATCGTCGAGAGTGGGAGATAGACTTTTCTGTCGTCTACAGGATGTCGAACGTCGCTGCGATTCTGTCTGACGGGAATGTTTTGGCAGATGTGTGTGATAGGGGAAATCCATCGTGGACAGGGCCTCTACGTGGATGCGGGATGAACATGAGTCAATATACAAAACGAACGACGAGTCCAAGTGCAATTCACGTGTTTTTTTATTCAATGCCTGATAAGGATTAGATCGTTCTTTGGCTGAGTGTCACACTATGATATTTTTCCTGTCTCGTACTTGCGTGGGGGAGTAGATCGGCCCGAACTCTCCTATTAGGCAAAAAAAAGTTTCTACTTTGCGCAATTACTCAGCTTTGACAGAACGCCCCAAATCACCACAATTAATACATTATACTATTACCAGTTAGGAACTATCTCTTATACTTACTAATACTGTAGCTATGCCGGGACGAATGCTATATCGTTATACTCGCGAGGAGGTGGCTAAGCATAACGTACCCGACGACTTGTGGGTTATTTTTAATAACAGAGTTTACGATGTGTCCGAGTTTGCAGTTGACCATCCTGGTGGTGCGGACCTGATTCAAGAATGGGGTGGAAGGGAAGTAAGCAAGATAATGACAGATTCTTTCTCACACAAGCATTCTGAAGCTGCTTATGAAGTATTGGCTGAATTGTGCATAGGCGACGTTGTTAATGGAAACTGTAATGAGACTAGTGGATTTGATGATAATACGAATGGCGTGGAAAATGGTCGCACTATCAACAAGATCAACAAACTTGCTGATGGTATAAACAACGGTGCTACCCGCACCTCAAATTACAACTTTGAAGATTTTTATTCAACAGATACCAACGTCGATGCTGACTACGAAAAACTCAAATTCCTCAACCTCAACGAGCCACTCTTCACACAAATGCTCAACTCCAAATTTACTAAAGACTTTTACTTAAAACAAGTCCATCAACCCCGTCATCTCTCTTACTCAGCGCGCTTGTTCGAAAACAACATTCTCGAAATGCTTACTAAGACGCCTTGGTATGTTATTCCAATCATCTGGGTACCATTTTCATTGTATAATTTATCTATCGCTTATGAAGGATTAGAAGCAACGAGTACCGGTGTATGGTTTGTGATCGGAATGACTATTTGGTCAATGTTGGAATATATGCTGCACAGATTCTTGTTCCATTTGGATTATTATTTACCGGATAATCAGTATGCGTTGTGTATACATTTTGCTTTGCACGGGATTCATCACTATTTGCCTATGGACAGGTAAGGAATTGGATTACAGAGGGAAAGGATCATGATTGAAGCGTGTAGGAATATATAGTAGTGATAGTTGTTAACTCAATTGCCATTTTTGAATCTTCTTTGCATTTTAACTGTAATTTTATTTATCTGCCTCCATTACTGCCTGTGATTTCGGACATTTATTTCTGAATTAACATTTTCAATCCACAATCACCAGATTTCGCCTCGTGATGCCACCTGTTCTTGGCATATCGCTTGCCATTCCCATCTTACGCGCAACCTACGTCATCTTCCCCAACTTCATCGCTCATGCCGCTGTCGCTGGGATTGTCTTTGGCTACGTATGCTACGATATGACGCATTATCATCTCCATCATGCTCGCCCATTTACTATGCATTTGCGAGAGATGAAGACATATCACCTAGCACATCATTATAAGAACTATGAATTGGGTTACGGAATTACAAGCAAGTTCTGGGATAAAGCATTTGGTACCTTGCTTCGATAGAAAGTTTGGGGGGGTTAGGCTGTTAAATCATATAGGGCGCCAAGTATCTTTAGAGTATCGGTTTGTAACATTAGTATACATATAGTAACTTAATATTATCGACATCTAGTGATTGGATGCGGTAAAAGATTAAGAAATGAGCTCTTAATTGAAAAAAACGAATTATTAATATGGAATTAACCCTTAATTCGAGAGCGCGATAATATTATATTATTACATTACGCAATAATTAGTCATCCGCATCATGTGACTGCGGTATCAACCAACCAATAAATTTTATCAGCACGAAATAAATCCCATAAACTGCGTCTCTACCCCATTTCATATAAATACATCAACCTCCCAGGCCCTCAGAGTTTTTTAATCCTCTCAAGCCTATTGGCTAAGATCAAGTGTAGTATCTGTTCTTTACAGTGTAATATCTGTAACAGGGTTCACTGAACCCTTACGATATTAGACTAATTTTTGCGATTTGGAGGAGGTCCCTGGCTTGCCATACTTCTTCCGCGGGTGTCCCTAGTATTGCACTACTTCTAGGTTGACGCCCATTATATAAACAAAGAGCCGGGATTGGGATTTTTGGGTTTTGGGTTAGCATTAGTATTAGTATTAGTGTGAAAGAAAATGATTTGCGACAATGTTAATATTGTTATGTAAATTATTATCCAATGACAAGGCAACACCGTTCTAATAAAAATATTTGTCTGAACGAACGCTTTGTTTTCTATATCAAACGAATTTTAATATCGTTTCTTGAAAACGATTCGAGGACAAGATTATATGCGGGGTGCATTATCTTTTTGGGCATTTATGTTTATGCAGCGTGCAGATCTACCCGACAATACCGTGCCATTCACGGAAGTATTTGTCAGTGTTCGGTAATGTTTAACCAAAGCAAGATTGATTTTCGTTCATCTGACATCATTAATTTTGCGTTCGAATAAATGAGCTTCGATTAAGCTCACGGATTGTAGTGCTACAAGATGCTATTTTAGTAAAAAGAAGATTTTGCAGACAACTAATCCCGGGTCATGAATGTTCTTTTATATGTTCTGATTTCCCCTAAACACAACTTTCTGTCCCTATTCTCTTACTTTCATGGAAGAAACAATCTCAATAGCTGCCTCTATTGACAGCGATTCTTCCGATCAACAGCCAGCATTGAATGATATAGCAAATAACATAAAGAGAGTTGAGGACGCATTGCAGGGACTTACTCAGCAAATACTAGAGCTAAACAAAAACGTATCACGTTTGCTTCAACAACAGCAACATCAGGAACAACGACAGGGACGAGAGCAGATAAAGCAGCAGCGAGAACAACAGGAACAAGAACAAGAACAGAAGAGGCAACAACCAGAAGTTGATGATACTGCCGCCGACCGTGCTATAAGGACAAGCCTCGACGGTATTCATAAACTGAATTTTCAATTAGCAACGCCGTTATCAAGCACACCACAACTCAAGTTACAGAGTCAGACTAAGCGGAGTTCTTTGCCACCTTTTCATCGGAATAGCGTTGGGGGATATGAGCAGAGGTCTGGATATTCACTAGCGGAATCGAGAGAACAGCAGCGTCAACCGCCGATTCCTTCTCAATTATCGTATTCGCTATCACCGGATGATGGGAAGAGAGAAAGTGTGAATAGTATGAATAGTTTGGAAAGTGTGAACAGTTTGAAGAGCGTGAATAGCGGGAACAGTTCGAAAAGTGCGAATAGTGCTAACGGCATTAACAATACATATGTAAGAATCTTACAAAAACGAGATCAGCCTTGCTTGCGTCTTTTCTTAGTTGACCTCTTCGCCTCGTTCCTCTCAGTGCCCAAGCATCATTCAGTTCAACGTCTAATTTTTTCTCTTTTTTTAACAGATTCTCGAGCATTCGGCAGATGATATACCAAACCTGTTTGAAAATATGCGGCTTAAACCCGAGCTTCTTTGTTCTATATTGAACTTGGGGTACGTTGTTCGAGGCGTTATCAGAACTTATATATTTTTTATCCACGTATTTCATAATCTCACAACATATTTTACGATTTTAGACTTGATCGTCCTACTTCAATCCAACAATGCAGTATTCCATTAATGATCAAAGGCGACGATATAATCGCTCAAGCAATGCCTAGTCAAGAAAGAACGATGACTTTTGCGATTCCTGCACTCCATCACATTGATCCGTACAACAAACAAACGCAAGCTTTGATTCTGTCATCAGTCAAAGAATCTGCTGGACATGTCTTTCGATCAGTTAGTAGTCTAATCAAAGGAATGATGACGCCGCTTGACTACACGTTGTGTGTAAATGGCACTAATATAAACGATGACGTAAAGAAAGTTCAAAAAAAGCCTCATATAATCATCGGTACTCCTGACCGAATTTTAGACTTGGTTAATTTGGGTGCTATCGGTTTGTCACAGTTGAAACTAATTGTACTTGAGGATGCTGATAATCAGATATTACCTGCACATAAAAATCAATTGATAGAGTTGCGTCAAAAAGTTCCAATTACTACTAGCATCCAGACATTGATCTTTGCTGCTAACGTTACTTCCGACGTTGTGAATTTGACAGAAGTATTTGTGATGCGTGAGCCGGTGAGGATCTTGGTTAAGAAACAAGATCAGGTGGTAAAGAACATTAGGCAGTTTTATTTGTATATAGCCGTAGATAGAGAGGACTGGAAACTGGAAGCATTGGCCGATTTATTTGAAGATAACAACCATCCACCTGCTATCATTTATTGCAATGATAACCAAACCATTGACAATGTTATGTACAAACTGTGTACTAAAAACTTAAATGCTGCAGCACTGGTGAGTATAACGTAATATAATGGTTATTGCTGATGTCACTATTATCACTACAATTACTTATTGGCATCTATTACATTGTTAGCACAACGATATGGGACCAAGTCAACACAATGCCGCATTCGCAAGGTTTAGAACTGGTGCTGACAAAATACTAATAACGACACAAGCACTGGCGCTTCAAAGAGATGTTCATCAGGTCCCATTGGTAATCAATTATGACTTGCCATCACGACCGGAAATTTACGTTCAAAGGTAAATTGTCAAGACTATGTCTACGCACCTATATGCCTTTCTTCTCAAATGTCAGTTGCTAAAAGAAAATATATTTGCTAGGATTGCATGCACTACCCCATCTGGCTTCAGTCGTCCCGGGGTAGCCATCAACTTTGTCACATCACGACCGCAAGACATTAGCAGTCTCCGAGCAATAGAGAGCTTTTGCAAAATAAAGATGCTCGAGATGCGAGTAACCAGTGATCTAGCAACTTTATTCTGACATGATGTTAATTAACTTATTAGTTAGAACCATCGATATTGATGAAGGTGAATGTTTCTAGATAAGTCACTCTGTACGAGGGTTAAGGCATATGCTGTTTTAAACTTCAATTACGGGTGCAATAGTTATTACAATTATGTCATTTATTTACAAATTCAGCCTGTATATTATCATAATCTTTGCCTCACATCACAACCCATGCTTTCCGAATATAATTTGGTCATTTCCAAAGCACCATCCTTCCCGATGTATTCCCGCTTATAATGATATTTTGAGTTGGATGAAATACATTCACAGCTGTTAAAATGTAAACAATACGGTCCGTTAATGATTGCTTTCTATATTCAATGGATAGATTCGGCGCTGCCATACTTGCCAGGAATAGCTGTTAATTCATTGCTATGCAAAATACAAAGAGCCCTCCCATCTATTGCAGAAAATATATCAACTGCTCGTTTCATATTGCCCACAACAAAGTGAGGATAAACGCTTGGATTGGGATGCCACGTAGAACGGAACATAGTTACCCATCTATAATGATACGTTAGTTATGTGATTGTTATTAAAGATTTCCACATTGAATATTTACTCTCTACATTCTTACTTACTTTCCAGTCTGATTATTGTGCTGTATAGTCAAGCGTTCTTCCAATTCCTCAGATGATTCATTATAGTCAAATACTCGTATCTTGTCATTAAACGACGTAGATACTATTTGCTTCCCATCGGGCCTCCAATAGGCACTGGTAACCGCTCCATAATGAATTACTCCCTCTAATGACTGTGGATCATCTTTAGACAACTTTCTTAGATCCCATAGACGCATTGTCCTGTCGAGTGAAGCAGTAACTAAATAATCATTCTTCACAGGATTGATAGACACGCACCCAATTTTTCGATCATGCAGTTGATGGACAGTGAACGAACTAATAGGCTCCCTTATATCTTTAATTTCCAATTGTCCTCCAATATTAGAACAATAAATTACATTCCCATCGATGGTATCCAAACAAGTAAATAGAGTATTCTCGTCAGATACATGAGCCTCTACACTTGTCGCCTTCTCGAGATCAAAAAACCTAATCATCCCATCATATGCGCTAGTAAACAAGCGATTGGAGTCTGTCGGAGAATACATCATCGACGAAATCGTCCGTGTGTGGAATCTATACTTCCAAGTTACCGGCATTAATTCTTCATCCTCATCGAAAGCTTTGCCGTTCGCGTCCCAGAAACCAAGCCAACCCATTTTATCGCCACAAGAGGCTAGAATTTTATCCGAGTTTGGATGCACAGCCGCGCAATAGATGCGTTCAGGTGTTACTTTAACGGATGGCCAATCCGTCGATATTTTTAAATTTTTATATACGTTCTTAATATGATTCGCTTTAATCTTATTCTCCTCCTCAGTCTCATCATTATCGGTGAACTCCTTCTTAATGACGACTGCATTCTTAGTCAATCCCTCTAAGTACGTCACAAAAGATTCCGTGCCTTCTATTCCTTCCCCGTCTTCGGCTTTCAATACAACATTTCCTTTCACCCTAGCCCGTTTAGCTTTAGCAATTTGTTCTATCTTCAGCCGCTCTTCATCACGTTTACGTTTCGCTTCCTGAGAATCAGGTTGAACCCCTCGTAATCTCAAAGACTGTCGCGTTGGCAGTTTTAGTTCGGCATTGGCTTTAGCTTTGACCCTTTGGCGTGGTTTCGGTTTTGGCTTTGGCTGTGGTTTAAGCAATTTAGCTGCTTCAGGAATTTCGAGCTGCTTAAGTATTTCTTGGTTGCGTCGTATATTTTCCAAGCGTTGGCGCTCACTATTTGAAAGGACGGAAGGTATGCGTGAGCGATAGGGTCTATATTGCGTTGTATATGGAGATAATTCACGACTTACTATTCATTTATTGGTTCCTCTTCCATGTTATTTTTTTGTCGGAAATTTTTGCTTCGAGAAGTCACCAGTTTTAGTACAACTTAATATTAATATTAATATGTATTAGACGCGAACCTCTAAACTGAATTCTCGATCTCATAATAATTCTAACACGTGATTTATTCGGTTTATCTCTATCACGTGATCAAGATGAAAGGGTACAAGTTCCTTCTAATTCTACCTCACCCAGTCGTTATAAAACCAAAACTTTTCCAATGTTCATAATAGGCTAAATATTGTCCGGGACAGTCTAGATCCTTTAGATCCTTTCCTCCTCATTTTCAGGAGATTTTTCTGCTAATGCATTGCTAACATAACCAAATATATCCTGTTGTAAACGGACTAATATATCCTGAATTGGTAGGTCATTGAGATATTCTTAAATGGTAATTTTAGGTTTGAGAGTTGGGCAAGATAGTTTTTAGAAGAAAAGCCATTTTTTGAAAGTGTTAGTACAATACAACCTTAATGATAAATTAAAAACTTTTGAAATTTGCTATCCCCAAACCTGCAGATACAATGTTTCCAAATGCATGGCTTGTTCGATTTGGTTTTTTTGAAAAGTGTTGGTGATTCTGTGCAATGGCGATGAATGATCTCTAGATACATAATAGATTACAGAATACTTGTTGTCAATAATCAATCTTCAAAACAGCAAGGACTGTGAACCATAACTTACTTCATAGTACCAACTTGTTAGGGTTGGTCTTTTTGTGACTGCAGGTACTGGACAATCACCCGGTATCAATATTGAGCAGATGACCTTTGACATAACTAATTGCTCTAAAAATGAATATTAAATTAATATGCATACAAACATTTGTGAAAGCATGTCACGAGTGCCATAACTATATTACCTCTATCATTTATTAGAGTAGCTAAACAGTGACAGCCTATACTAGCCCCTAATAAAACCACTCTGTCTGCTGATGCAATTCTTATAGATGAATGTTAGAAACGCGTAAACGAAATATATTGGAGTACTCTTAAAAACTTACTGAATATGGTTGTCCCATAAGTATACTAATAGTTCAACTAAATCTGAACGCGTTCTGCTGTCACCCTGATAAATTGTGCTCTACATAATTAACATGACTAGAAACTTTATGAGGGGAATTGACTCAATTGGTCAAATTATACATACCGAAGGGATGGCAACATCTATTATACCATAATCTGGATTCTGTACCACGTTTTCAATATAGTAAACCATGCTATCAACCTGCGGGAAAGCACTGTATTAGTCATTGTATTGTTAATGTTACAGACACAATGCAATTATTGAAACATTAATTTATGTGCAGAATTATTAAATGGTATGCAACATAAATATTACAAACCATATATGACCGTGAGTGATTTACACTATTTGTATGTGCCTTCATATCAGCCCTAGATATCACTTTATTTAGCAAACCATATTCGACAGTTCAAAACAAGAAGCTGGAGCAATACCTGAAATCGGGCCTGCAAAGTATCAAGAAAATTTGGTCAATCTAAATGTTCCCCACACATAAAGCAAAGAAGTCATGTTCCATGTATAAACGTAACTCACATTTCGTGCACAAAGAGAAATAATACTTTCTTTTCGTACATCTTCTTGCTAATAGCCAATATGGTTAAGTTCTTCATTTCATACAACGATAATTAAACAACATGCAAAATTCTTTACCTGCACAAGACGTGCTCATAAAATTTTGTAGCAAGTCGTTCATCGGATATCGGTAAAGGCACCATTGAATACTTTGTGAGAAGCCCCCTTGCCCGAATTATTCTCAACATTTCTGTAGAAGACAATGAAAATTTATCTTCAGAGATGCTTATGAATGTACTCAAGCAACTATCGTCTTCGCGTAACACTCACCGGTCATGTTTATAACCATTTTCCCGGGGGCTTTTGCTATAGTAAGGGTAATCTCTAGTCAGAAAAAACTAATGAGCAAATTGTATTCCATATAATGTAATCCTCACAAATATTATACCTTCCCCCTCATCTATATTATTTGGAGCCAAACATTTCCAATATTGTGATTGAATTTTCGTGACTTGATGTACTGTTTCAATACAATCTTTGCTAGGGCTGATTGGCCCCAAGTCAGGAGGATCTTCTCCAAGTAAAACTTTTACACAAGCAAGAGCGGATTTTGATAATGAATTAAGATTGTAACCGCCCTAGGAAATAATCTCGACCGTGTTAATCACTGTAGTACTAAACAAAAATCGAACGTAGCCAATTAATTACCTCCAACGCCAGTACGAGTTTACCTCCCGCCAAATTCTTCAGCAAACTTGTCATGTGAGCAAATCCAGCTGGTGTTACATCATTCTCGCCAATGGGGTCACCTAATGTCATCATTCGTCTCTTCAGGAATTGGCCATCTACAATGTTACCAAATAAAGTTTCCTCACCTCTGGCAGCATCAAATCCAGCCGATACAATAACAATATTTGGTCCAAACTCGTACGCTATAGGCATTACTATTCTATTAAACGCGTATATATAATCGCTGTCCGTCATTCCTTTGCGTGGCCACGGTATATTTATCGTCCTATTTAACAAGTCAATCAAATTATTGGGTAAATATGATAGAAAATAAAGTAACAGGCGGTTGAGGATAGTCATAATATATCGATAACAGTCGTTGTAAAAAAATTGATACATACTTTCCCCGTGCTCCATTCCTTCCCACATGTGTGTAATTGGCCTCTTCATCGCCAGGATAGAAACGCGCATTCTCATAACGGTGTATTGAGCAATACACTACGTCTGGGTCATCATAAAATATCTTCTGTGTACCATTCCCTAAACGATGATATCGATTAGAAACATAGAATCAGATAAAAAACAGAAACTGCTAGTGAGCATTTACCATGATGTATGTCCCTATTAAAAAAATGTAAAATAAGTTTAAGAAGCCGGTCCGAAGACACTTGATGCTAATCAATTAACTTCCTGCGCACACCTTTTCTGCCTTAATTTCCTTACCAGTCCAAAATAAATACTCTTTCAACATTGTGATGACGTCTTAAACATCTGGCGGCTACAGCGACATTGTTAAACAGACAGAAACCCATGGCTTGCCCTGGCTCGGCGTGATGTCCGGGAGGTCGCACATTCGCGAATCCGTTGTTAACATTTCCCTTTACGACCGATAGACACATCTCAATCACACCGCCGCATGCTAAACGTGCCGACAGAGCAGATTCGTTGTTAAGATATATTGAGTTATAACCGTTTGCCATCCTCTGTAATTGCTCGTCAGACTTATCTGAAAAAGAAGGCAAAATGAGTGAGTGGAAAAACCAAACAATAAATACTTGGGCATGTAATTACGCGAACAAACAAATTAGCCTATTTGATCGCATGCACCTGCGCCGGATCGCATTATTAAAACGAGCGTTATATCGGCGCAAAGGAAGGATACTTTCATATATCCTACCAGGCCCTTTAGCCCCATTAACCATGAATCAAGTGCAAAAAAAAAGTCTCATACCGACAGTGCTAATAATCTTATCCCAATGTTCCTTGGCATGAGCAAGAAGAACTTCTTCCCTTGTCGCCTCTCTTGCAGGTATTCTGACCATTCTCTTAACACAGGAAGACCCCAGTAGTGCTTTGTAGATGGCAGAGATCCGTTTTGGATCTTCGGGGTGATGTTCATCCTCGTATATGTTTCCGTGAAGACGCATACGTGGATCATATACAAGCCCCGTCACTGTTCCACGAACAGAGTCTACTAGTTGAGTTGGAATGTTAGAGAACAGCCAGTGTAAGAGAGCGAAAACATAATAGGGGAGCGTAGAGAACGAAGAGCTCACCACTGACAGTTGTAGAAGGTGCGTCATCTATATCCATCTGGTCCATGGCCATGGGAATGAATTATTAAGCGCGAGATCAAAGGGTGATTGAAATTAAGGTATCAAGTAGATATTTCATCCTGTTCATGATTAGAGGCCATTTAAATAAGTTATGTAAATGTCATGTGAGCAGTTGAATAAATGGAAATGATTGGTCAGCACATTGAAAAACAGAGGACGCTGATCACCCTGGTTACAAAAACTACTATTTCTAAAGAGAGACATAATAATAATGATAAACCCTAGTCGATCTCTCACCACGCTCACCATCTCTACAACTTATGATTCTACCTTCAGTAGCCGGTACCTAGAGGCAGCCGACAGAAAACGCTTATGGAAAGATAAACCCTTTGGTACCCTGTTTGTTTTTTTAATGCCATCTAATGTTAACATTCTTTCATTGTTGATCTCTTACAACGTGTACCTTATACTTCCACAGAAGTGTACCTACGAGCAATAAAAGGACGAAAGCGTTGCAAAAGCGCACGGGCTTCCTTCTGGACCTCTCTCAATATACAAATGAAAGGCTCGATCGCCAGCGTTGACAAATACTCTATAAGAATCCTTTTGTGGTCAAGCCATACTTACCACATACTTTCTGAATTGCTCCAGTCTACCTGCGATGTCTCTTTTGTTCGCGTTCTGAAAATTCTCCTTACTTTTTGCTACGAGAATGATTTATTGCCGAGCACATGTGAGTTGTTAGCGGTGGAGTTTCGCTTGGAGTTTGAGCCCAGCAAACAGTTGTTAAGGGTGTCGCCGGAACTTGCTTGGTAGTATTGTAATTGATTGTTAAATTTACAACTTTTCTGCATCCGATGCGTTTGAAGCTTCCCGTTACTAATTAGGTTTATGACTGAAGGTCCAAGAGAATATATACGCTTTTTGTGCATCAGAGAATACTCGAACTTCAAAGTACCTTTTTCTCGGTGCTGGGCGGAGCATATTCTGGTCTCGGAAGATATAACAAACAACATGTAAAGGATCAGATCTTGAATGAGCTTTCTTTATTTTATTCCAGACATTAACATTAAATTTTTCGTCCCGGCCCAACCAGGCTGACAGAGCCCGTGGATTGGCGCTCAGACAAATACGAACGGCTCAACGTCTTAAAGATCCTATTTTGGAGACCAAGTGTTGGATATACTATGCAGAAGGTTTGATTCAGTTAGGGAAGCTGAAAAAAGCACAAAAAATTATTACTTTGCAGAAGGAAAACTGTTTAAGAAATCTGATGCTATTACAAGAGGATGTCGTGGTAATTGGACGTGTTTTCTTATTCATTACAACTCATATCTGGTAACCACTCATAGTATTTGTACTATTCTCTCTGCTTGCAGTTGAAAATGTGTGAGAACGCACAGATGAAACTAAATGTTGCTATTGAGGCGACAATTAGCCGTTCGGACGTTAGCGAAATTTGAAATTCATTAGCTGATTGGGTGTTTAATGATAGAATTCTATAATATTAACCTATAATACATTAGACTTCCAGTCCATCTAATTTAATCGAACATATTTCTAATGGCTCGGGGAAAGTGCGCGAAGTTGATATCTTCACAAATCTCGTTGGCTCTTCACCTTTCGTACCACAGTCAAAATATATTGTAATACTATTGATGTGGGAGTTTGAAAGATATTCTTCATTCTCTTTATCGGTTAGATTACGCCTGTTACACGTTTTCTGTGTGATAACAGAGGTATACCAGTGAGTTACATATAATTTATTGCATACCCTCTATCGTAATACCGAACAGCCCGTTAAACAGCATTCCCCCCATTAAATAGAGACTCGACTCACCCATACACGGCCATTATCAGAAATGTGGATATTAAATGATGCGTCGTATTTGATGATATCTTTTGATGATGTTAACGTTATCTTATTGAATTTTCTGGGCACTACAAATTGTAACCCAAAGTAATCGCCTGATCTGGGATCTAAATGGATAACGAGTGAGTAGGTTATTGCAACATAATATGTACCAGAAATTTATAATCTAAATATTACTTCTGAAAGAGTTCCAACAAGTATTGTCATCCGTGTCTACTGCCGTATGATAAGCATGTTTATCCCAAAAATCATTGCTGGGGAAATTCAGTTGATTAAATTTAGCTTCTTGTTCGTGAACATGAGTGATATTATTTGCATAATACACGTTCCTTGGAGAAGGGAACGAATCGATGCTTGTAAGGAAAAGACATTTATCATTTGCGCAAGGAGCTCTACATAAAAATAATCCAGAGTTAGACAGTAAACCCGTATATACCTAATGCATACTAGAGATAAACGCACCTGACGTCGCGATTATTAAACAGTGGCCTCTCTTCATCTCTTACAAAATATTCCGAACCAGTGTTAACTGCGAGAGCTTTAAACAGTCTCTGAACAGCATCAAGCTACGATCATACGTTCAACGTCTTGTCAGCGATGTGCTTTTAAGTTTTCAAAACATTAAAATTCATCCCACTTACAATATTAGCGTATACGATTGCCCATTGGTCCACTCCAGTGCTCCAAGCTCCTCCCTGATCTAATGGAGTCAATGGGTTGGATAGCTGATATGGATACTGATTTGTCCATAATGAGAAGTACATATCAATGAGACGAAGACGATCCCTGGGCATGGCACTCGATCCAACTTGTCTAAGGAACTGCTGCACTTTAGCCCTGGGGACAAATGACCCGCAACCAAGCCATGTAAACCCGGTGTGAAGCTTTTTATCTATATTACGGATATAAATACATTAACATCGAACAACGTCATATGAAATTACAAGAGACAATAATTGAATTCAGATATTTATGCCTTCATACCAGCATTCGTGAACGTCCACCTGCGATGTTCGAGATGAATGATTGGCATTGTATTAGAATGAATGAGATTAGGACTCTTTAGAAAGTTGCTGTAGATACTATCCATATATAAATTGAGCCAATCGTCATCTTGGAAATAGCAGTAATCATATTTGGCCATTGCGCACGTAGTGTATTTTGATAAATCATGAAGATTCTCATCCGAATTGAAGACATGTAAAACAGCATCAGTATTATTCAGGTTGAAATCCCTCTGTCATGGAGTTGGACGGTCAAAGAAAATCAAACAGTCAGTATCACATCTAAAAGCGTGGATTTGATAACCGATCGAAATACAAGCTCAACTCACTATAGTAGCTCGTTATTTAAAATGCCGTTGTCAACTCATACCTCAGAATTAAGCCTAATATTATTGTTATTATTCCACACGATTATCTCCTTAATGAATGGATATTTTGAAATATAAGAAACGACGGTCTGCAGTCCCTCGAGGCGCTTCCATCCTAACAATACAGCAGTCACAGGAATAAGTCCATTCTTGCTTATTGCACTCTCAGTAAACTGTTCTCTCGTAAATGCACTGCTCCTCGAATTTATCGTGTCATTTAGGTCTGTTCGCCAGCTCTTCTCTTTAGATTGTGATGTCTCGTTCACTGTGTCTGCTGCGGTCTTATCGCCGAGAGCATCTTGTGACAGTGATGTTACCGTCCAAGGTTTAGAATACAGTAGCCAAACTGACGTCGAAACCAGTAACAGTACTAGTAGCGCTCTGATGGCGTTATTCTTTCTACTTAATATTCTGCCGTAGTTAGATGCTAGGCTAAAAAAATCTACTCGTGGTATGCTATTTGATTTCTCTTCGAACATAGTATAGTCCCTTGTCACAATTATAATAATAATTTTAATATATTATATTGAAAAGAATGTTGCGAAAGCTCAACCGAGCTTCTATAAGATAGAGGAGAGATTAGTATGGAAGTGTGGGTTTGGATGTTTCAGTGCTATTACTATTGATCTGCAATCTTTTAATATTGTTCTTGCCTTAAAAGGTAGTGCCACAATAAACCAGATAAATTCCGCAGAATAAGAACTTCTAGTATAATAATTATGTTACACATTGGGACGAGTCAACAAACAAGACATCAATCATTTTGTTAGTTAAAGTCGTGAATTTGGATCACAATATCGAACAAACTGATGCCTACTGGCGAACGATCGTTACGATTTAAATTGATAAAATTTATTGAGATGATCGACTTGCATAAACGTCCTAATACTAAAAAGAATTCAGAAACACAAAAACGTAACACAATTCGTTGACTAAGAACAACGCATACAGCTAAGTACTGGCTGTTTCTTGAAATGATTGGTACATGTGTTAAAACGCTACAGGTATGGTGTAACAACTGTGCGAAAATTATTTTTCAGAGATAAAGTAATTCGCCGTTTGCTAGTTCAGGTGAGCATCAAGCACGACTATGCCTCTCGTATTTATTAGAAGCGAATTTATTAAAGACAGATAATGTCGACTTAGTTGGTTGGTGATATCTGCATTGATTCAATCTTATTGAGAGAACAAAAGGACTGATTTCATGGTAGATGTAGTGCAATTACATTTTCCTATAACAGAATTGTTTTGGTCAAGATAAAAATTATGTGAGCAAAGTGAAATAAAAGATGACTTGTTCGGGCGCAAATATTCTGATATTTTAATATATGGGCTGCTTTCTACAACCAATCGTAGCAAAATATGCCCTCATTCAAACATTATTCAAAAGTTGAGAAAATGCCTTAATGTCTAAATAAAGTTGGCCACCGATAGAATACATTAGACACAATAATTTTCTCATCACAAGCTCAAGGATGTAAACTGTTACAATAATAAATGCCAAATAAATCAAGGTCATCATCATTACCTAAGACACGGCTGATATAATTAGCTATTCTTTTTTATCTACTAATCGGTTTGATTTTTGAGCATCCGACTTGATAATTCACTTTGTACTCTGCCGTTTTAGTGGGTAAGCGACTAGTTTTACCTAAATTTTTTAATTTTAGATTGCGAGCATTGATTATATGGGCTAAATTTGGTGAAATAATTGGAATAAGCCATGGAATAATTCCCGATACGTAAAGCAAATGATTTTGAGAGTTAGATGCAGAATTTGCGTAAATTACACGGAGCTCGACTTTTG